AAGAAAATCATTTTTGAGTTCAGTCTTGTACGCAGTGGCAGACTTGAGCTTGCATGTTCCATAAAAAGATATGCCTTTTCATAACATTACTACGCATGGGCAAACTTTTGCTTGCATTTTCCATTAAAAGCTATGACTTTCAAAACATTATTTTTTTTTGCAAATCGTGGGCATAGTAAATAAATCTTTCCGGTTCATTGATATTAAACATCTTTTCGCCGGACTTCCCAACCATCATCACGTTGTGTCCTCGGGCACGATCAAAGTGTAATCCATATATGTATGATGTACTGGTCCGATTTCACCGTTTCAGAGTTTTCAACTAACTATGTACAATAGTAGCTTTCGGTAACTTTTAGTACATTTTGGAGGTTGTAATTTCTAAGCATATATAATTTCTTAATTACAGAGGTGGTCAAAAGTATTTACACAACGTGTAAAAAATAACTGTTGATGGGCTAAAAATAGAAGCATTGAACTGATGCTTGTCTGTTGTCAGAAGTATTTACACACAATTTTTACACGTCAAAATTATTTACACACAGCTTTTTTAATTGATTTTTGCGTTTTTTATTGAATTTAAACGAAATATTTTATATTATTTTAATATGTGATTATGTTAAGCCAACTAATATCTAGTTAATCCGCCTTTGGCATCAATGACTGCTTGGAGCCTTGCTGGTATTGACCGGACTAAGTTGTGCGCAAACTCAAGAGGTAATTTTGACCAAATTTCCGTTATTTCGGCTATAGTTTCATCGCGCTGGCGATCTCTTTCAAATGTCCTCTGACTCTTAACATAAGCCCAGACATTTTCGATAATGTTCAGATCGGGGCTTTGTGCGGGCCATGGAAGTACCGCCTGATTTATGACTTTCAAGAACTTGGTTGGTACTCGGTCTTGTGGCATGGAGCATTGTCCTGCTGCAAGATCCAGTCATTCGTGGAGAATAATCTATTTCCTGAGGTTAATGCGTGCTCACTTAAGATATAAAGGTATCCTGTTTGATTTAGTGTACCCTCTATCGGTACCATGTCTCCAAATCCATAGTAGCTTAAACAGCCCCAGAACATCACCGTGCCACCACCAAACCGATTGATTGGCTGGACGGCATTACCCTTTAGTTGTTTTGGGAGATGCATAAATTGCTTGCTAAATGATCCCTGAAACTGAAACGCAACTTCATCAGTCCATAAAACATCAAAGCAGAACTCGAGAGGCTTCTCTTTATACTCCAAGGCAAATGTGAGACGTTTTTCCTTGTTTCTTGGGGTAATATCAACTACTGCACGAACAACATAGGTGTTGATGTCAACTTCCTTCATTCTGCGACGCAGTGTACTATCGCTAATATGTTTTTCAATTAAATTTTTCGAAGCTGCAGCAATTTTAACGGTACTTATGGTGGGATTACTTAGTACAACTCCTATAATGTGTCTGCAGTCTCTTGGGTTCATTGCAACTTTTCGGGCAGTTCTCTTTTTATTTTCCAAATTTCCCAGTGTGTCCTTTTTTTTTAACTAAATTGTACACAGTTTTACGTGATATTTTGTACAACTCAGCTAATTTGGATGCAGAAGTATCAGCCTGAAATTTAGTGACAATCTCGGCTCGATGATCAACTGATAGCTCCTTTGTTTTTGCCATTTTACAAATTAAATGCTTAGTTTAATCTATTAATTTAACTGTTAATAGTTAGTTTAAGTTCCAATTAAGCGATCAACATCAACTAGAACTTCACTTACTCAATGCAAATCAAAGACTAATCTTCAATTTGCAATGTGTAAATAATTTTGACGTGTAAAAATTGTGTGTAAATACTTCTGACAACAGACAAGCATCAGTTCAATGCTTCTATTTTTAGCCCATGAACAGTTATTTTTTACACTTCTTTCGTTTGCTTCTGTATAGATGTAGAAGCACGACAAATATGTCGTTATGTTCGTTTCTGAGTACAAAAGCAGCAGCAATAAGCGATCAAAGTTGACAATTGAAAAAAAAGCACGTTGTGTAAATACTTTTGACCACCTCTGTATATAAACCATTTCCCTTAGTGTGTGGCAAACTTCTGAAATCAATCAATATATGAAATCAATATACAATCTGCAAGGATATAAAAGGGGTTATTTTTAAAGAATTCTTATTTTAATAATTATAATTATAATAATTATATTATTATTTATATTATTATTAATTATTATAATAATAATAATTATAATAATAATAATTATAATAATTATAATATATAATAATAATTAAATATATGTAACTTGTTTTCGTACAGATAGAACTCCCACCAACTTTACCCAAATCATAGGGAAATTTAGAACAAAATTGGCAACAGTTTATACCCGTTATTCATAGAGTAAAGGAGTATAGTGGATTCGTTGAAAAGTATGCAACTGACAAAGGGAAACGTTTCCGACCACATAAAGTATATATATTCTTGGCCAGGATCAATACCCTAGTCCAACTGGTCATGTCCGTCTGATAGTATGAACGCCTTGATCTCAGGAAACATAGATCTTCCAAACATAGACGCAGCGCAAGTTTGTTAAATGAAGTTGCCAAGCCCACTCTAACGCCCACAAACCGTCCTAAACTGCCGCGCCCACCCTTTTAAAAAATGTTTTCATATTTTTTGAATTGTTTATTAGTAAATTTCTACAGATTTGCCAAAACTCTTATTGCTACGCCCACTCTAAAGCCCAAAAACTGCCCAAAACTGCCGCGCCCACACTTTTGAAAAATGTTATAAAATTTTCCTTTTTTTTTTGTTAGTCTTGTAAATTTGTATCGATTTGTCAAAAAACTTTTTGCCACGCCCGAAACTGTCAAGCTCACACTTTTGAAAAATTTTTAATTTTATTTCTCATTTTATAATTTTTTTCCGCAGTTTCTACCGTTATTCCAGAAAATGTTTAAATTTCTCGTTTGCAATTCCACTAGCTGAGTAACGGGTATCTGATAGTCGGGGAACTAGACTTAGCATTCTATCTTGTTAAATGTTAAAATAGATGAAATTTTAAAGTGCTACCAAATCATTATCACCATAATCAGATATATTATTTGCAGAATATGTACAAGTACTTACCATAGTTTGTTCGATGAAAACGCCTAAAAATCCCCTAGGAGACCCGGAGTATTTGTGGAGCTCTATCGCGGGAAATATATTTTTTAAAGCAAATTCGTTTAAAGATAGGGGCAGATTTATTTTCCATGGACCCTACATCAACGTTATTACGGATAGACAAAGTCTTTATGTGATGGTTTCAGGCTATTAGATTCCCATTTTTGGGCTATTGCGAACATGATATTTTCAAAAGTTTGGGAAGTTTGTGGGCATTAGATTGCCCACAGCCCAGGCGGCACTAGAGTCTGCATGTCTAATCTCAACATACTTCTTTTATAGTTTCCGAGATCTCGACTTTTATGCGGACGAACCGCGCACGATCGTCTCGGGTATTGGTCCTGATAAAGAATATAGGGTCGGTAAGAATATATTAGTTTGGCAAATATCTCCCTTCCGCCTTTTTGTCTTTTGAATTTCGCGGCTATGTACAAAGCGCTACAAAGCTCGTATCTGGCAATACTATACATAATTTGAAAGGTCTTGACATAACCTACAAAACGACGCTATGCATGATTAGTTTGGATAGTTTGCGTTCAACAGTTATAGACGTGTAAACATGGAGTTCACTAACGCCGAAATTCGCGCTATTTTAAAGTTTTCCTTCGTTAAAGGCAAATCCGCTAGAGAAACGTTCCGTGAGATTAATGGTGTTTTGGGGGTTGGTACTCTATCACTTCGAACCGCGGAGGAATGGTTTCGACGATTCAGACAGAGCCGGTGAAAACGACACCATGGATAAGCCAGCCGGCGGAAGACCTGTGACGACAAATACCGATCAAATCGTGGAATACATCGAGTTAGACCGGCATGTGGCATCTCGTGACATCGCCCAGGAGATGGGAGTTAGTCACCAAACCATTTTAAACCATCTGCAGAAGGCTGGATACAAAGAAAAGCTTGATGTTTGGGTGCCGCATGATTTGACGCAAAAAAACCTTCTGGACCGAATCAACGCCTGCGATATGCTGCGGAAACGGAACGAACTCGACCCATTCTTGAAGCGGATGGTGACTGGCGACGAAAAATGGATCACATACGACAATATCAAGCGAAAACGGTCGTGGTCGAAGGCCGGTGAATCGTCCCAAACAGTGGCCAAGCCGGGATTGACGGCCAGGAAGGTTTTGCTGTGTGTTTGGTGGGATTGGAAGGGAATCATCCACTATGAGCTGCTCCCATATGGCCAGACGCCTAATTCTACCATCTACTGCGAACAACTGGACCGCTTGAAGCAGGCGATCGACCAGAAGCGTCCAGAATTGGCCAACAGGAAGGGTGTAGTGTTCCACCAGGACAACGCCAGACCATACACTTCGTTGATGACTTGTCAGAAGCTACGGGAGCTCGGATGGGAGGTTTTATCGCATCCACCATATAGCCCGGACATAGCGCCAAGTGATTACCACCTGTTCCTGTCCATGGCGAATGCCCTTGGTGGTGTAAAGTTAAACTCAAAAGAGGCTTGTGAAAAGTGGCTGTCCGAGTTCTTCGCAAATAAGGAAGTTGCCGTCTAGATGGAAACAGATTACCGAACAAAATATTTGAACGCATATTTGAACTAAATCCGATCACTGTCACACTTTTTATAAAGCATTCAATAAAGAGCAAAAAAAGCGGAAGGGAGATATTTGCCAACCTATTATATACTTTCGGAAACGCTTTCTTTTAACTGTTAGATACTTTTCAACAAAAGAATCTAGTATACCCATTCACTCTACAAGTAACGGGTATAAATATAGATCTTTTGAGTGTTAAATATGTTTGGAGTTGGGAACATTTGATATATGGTCACGAAACTGCAAAGTTATTGCTTATACATTGTCAAATAGTAAAAACGTTGAATAATATTGTGCGTTTTTATTTCAGGTGAAAAACTGGGTGACGAAGAAATCAATAAATTGAATCATCCGCGAGGCCAGTTTAACAGGTATATTAAACATGCATTGGAGGAAAAAAATGCATCAAAACATTTGAGGTCAAGAAAATAAGGTTTAAAGAGTACACATTAACAAAATTTGGTCTGGTAATCCGCGTAACACACATTTAAATCTTTTATTGTTTCTTACGTGCTTCCGTGCATTTTACCAAAGCACTTGAATCTTATTCCTCAATCTACATATTTCGTGTTTATTATAACGGTAGATTGATTCGTTGAAGAGTATGTAACAGGTAGAAGGAAGCGCTTTCGACCCTATAAAGTATTTAATAGGTTGGCAAATATGCTCTTTATTCAATGCTTTATAAAAAGTGTTACACTGATCGGATTTAGTTCAAATATGCGCCGTTTTGTTCGATAATCTGTTTCCATCTAGACGGCAACTTCATAATACCTCCCTCGTAGAAGCCCCCCTCCTTATTTGCGAAGAACTTGGACAGCCACTTTTCACAAGCCTCTTTTGAGTTCAACTTTACACCACCAAGGGCATTCGCCATGGACAGGAATAGGTGGTAATCACTTGGCGCTATGTCCGGGCTATATGGTGGATGCGATAAAACATCCCATCCGAGCTCCCGTAGCTTCTGACTAGTCATCAACGAAGTGTGTAGTCTGGCGTTGTCCTGGTGGAACACTACACCCTTCCTGTTGGCCAATTCTGGACGCTTCTGGTCGATCGCCTGCTTCAAGCGGTCCAGTTGTTCGCAGTAGATGGTAGAATAAGGCGTCTGGTCATATGGGACCAGCTCATAGTGGATGATTCCCTTCCAATCCCACCAAACACACAGCAAAACCTTCCTGGCCGTCAATCCCGGCTTGGACACTGTTTGGGACGATTCACCGGCCGTCGACCACGACCGTTTTCGCTTAATATTTTCGTATGTGATCAATTTTTCGTCGCCAGTCACCATCCGCTTCAAGAATGGGTCGAGTTCGTTTCGTTTCAGCAGCATATCGCAGGCGTTGATTCGGTCCACAAGGTTTTTTTGCGTCAAATCATGCGGCACCCAAACATCAAGCTTTTCTTTGTATCCAGCCTTCTGCAGATGGTTTAAAATGGTTTGGTGACTAACTCCCATCTCCTGGGCGATGTCACGAGATGCCACATGCCGGTCTAATTCGATGTATTCCATGATTTGATCGGTATTTGTCGTCACAGGTCTTCCGCCGGCTGGCTTATCCATGGTGTCGTTTTCACCGGCTCTGAATCGTCGAAACCATTCCTCCGCGGTTCGAAGTGATAGAGTACCATCCCCCAAAACACCAATAATCTCACGGAACGTTTCTCTAGCGGATTTGTCTTTAACGAAGGCAATATGGCATAATGTGTTTAAGATTTAATTTGTCTAAATGCTTCGATAGGCATGAGAGCAGGCCAAATGATCTGTATGACGATGAAAAATTATTATCTTATCCTGCATCATTGGCTTTACGTGTACCTCAATTAACTATCTTGGTCTCTCATTGATGAGCGAATTTTAGGTTGAGCTTTCCACAGTGGATATTTTCTGATACCAGATATCACTTACAAAGTGATAATTTTAAAGTTTCTTGCGTCAGCTTTCTTTTTGAGTCAATGTTCTTAAAAGCTAGCAGTTAATAATTTTTCTAGGTTGTTCATAAATTAGGCGAGTGTTTAGACGTTAAGTCAGGTTTATCGGCAAAGGTAATTTAATCTGGTAGTTAATTCGCGTCAGTTACATAATGACATAATGTAAGCCTTCCTTACGAGACAAAGTAGTTCAGGGATTATTTCAATATATTTTGTTTGTTTTTTTTTTTTTATTTAGAAGACGGAATCCCATTAGGTGTGCTTCGCAGACTAGACCTTAGAAGATGGACCAGATTTAGGGTTTCGGCGTCGTCTGGCTCGTTGCTACTGCACCGAAGAGCCTGGTCTTCAGAACGGCCTCCTTTGCGCATTTGTGTTCATCTTCGAGGTGACAAACTGGTGCTCGCACGTTCCATAAAATAAATGGCTCCCCACACCATTACTCCACCTGCACGACTGTGATGTCGACTTAAGAAACATTCTTCCTTTCGCATACCGTGGAAGAAGTAATTATTAATAGTAAATAGATTATCAAGGTTGAACTTCTTTTCGCCAGAGAAGGCCGGAGTCTTCCACTCCTTGATCCACGTCATGTGTTTTCGGGAAAATCTAAGTCGGTTTTTTTTCGAGAATCATTAAGTAGTGATTTTTTTCAATCTCTTCAAGGATATGAGAAACGTGGAAACAAGCATTAACCCCGCGATTTTTTATAATTGTACCAACAGAATTGGATGAGTCGCCTCTTCGATGCTGTGTACGGAGAAAATTGCTTACAACGTTTCGACTTCGTCCAATTTTCTTGGCTATTTTATAGTGTTTTTATCTTGATTCATAAAACCTTTTTTTTCCCTTATATAATAATTCCCTTGTATATAATGAGTAAACAAATAAAAGCTAAAACATTGTGAATCGGAAGGCCATCGCAATCACCGACAGAATTTGCTTTTTTAGAATGTGTTTTCGCGCATGAAGATAACGGATGACTCACTCATCTCAAAATGCCCAGTCTGTATATCAAAAGTAAAAATTAAGGAAATATCATTTTCTAAATTTCTCTCGATAGTGAACTCGATAAAATTGGTTAAATTTCTCTTTATTTTCTTTCACGACCATATACTCGTATACATATAAAATATATAAAAGTAAGGGAGAACCTTTTGGCCAGCCCCCCGTCTATCAGATACCCGTTACCTAGCTAGTGAAAGAGGGAACAAGTAATTTCAATTTAAAATTGGCAAAAAAAAAATGTTCAAAAGTGTGGGCGTGGTAGTATTATGTTGCTTGTGGGCGTTAAAGTAAGCGTGGCCAAATTTTGTTTGGCAAATTGATAGAGCAACACATATTAAAGTGAAAAAATATCACATTATTCAAAAGTTTGGGTGTAGCACTTTTTGTTGTTTTGTTGGAAACAAATTTTTGCTGTGTCTTTGTAATCTTCATGCTTTATCTCAACTTTCTGACTTTTATAGTTCCTGAGATTTCGATGTTCATACGGACGGACAGATAGGCGGACGGACGGTAGTTAGAAGGCAGGTGGCAAACAACTTTTAGGCAAATCGATTGAAATGTATAAAACTAATAAAAAAAAAAAAGAAAACATCAAAACTTTTTCCACAGGACACCAAGGACGCCACAATCCCTTTCTCCCCACGCCAGGACCTTGTATCCTCCTTTAGCACCCCTTACTGTGCTGATCTCAACGTTTCAGCCTCAGCCTTGTAGACTCCCTCGTCATTCAGTGTCTATGCTCTGTTATCTTCATCCACGGATTCTCGGTATCACTTCTTGGTCAGTTGCGGTGACTGTCCTCGCACTTTTGATTCCACGTAATCTGACTGACTTCCCACGTCTTCTTACATGTGCCCCCGAGTTTCGCTAACGGTGTCGATTTATAGGCCGCGGCGGTCCCGTTATTTCCAATTTTTTTGCATGTGCTCGGTCCAAAGGTTCAGCGACGTCCGAAGTCCGCAGATTCATCGTACGACTCTACTTCCGCTTTACGGGGGTCAAAGGCCCATTGCTTACCTCCACATTGCAGCCTCCATTTTAAGAAGGCAATTGATTAAAATTTTCGTGTGTTGTAATTTTTTCAGAAAAATGTCTTAGGGCAGCTGTATCAAGTTTTTTTTTATTTAAAATCATAATTATGTACTCAAAGTTAAAAAAAGAACACTTTATAATAAAAAAGAACAAAACTATTATGTGATTTCTTATTATTTTCAATTTATTTTCCGACTGTTCCGGCAGCATTATTGGCGTTATTTTTTATTAAATTAAAAGCTACATTATATATTGTCAAAATTTATATAATTTATTGTATTAATTATTCCAATGTAGTGGTCCGACCCGGCTTATATTTTACCTGCAATATAGAGAATACTTTTGAGAAAATGTCATGAAGAAAGCTGTATAATTGAGGCAGAAGTTTGCATAGAAACGGAGAGTAGCTGTTGTTAGAGATAAAAAATATGGGTTTTTTAACGGTCGCAAATAATTGCTACCACAAACTATTGGTAGTTTGGACTGTTGGTGGCAAAGTTTTTTTTTGCTTAGTTAAAAAAATGTTTATAAACGGCTTCAAAAAGTTTTTTAATTCAACAAACATAAATTATGTTTTGATTTTTAAATAAATTATTAAATTTTCGTTTTAAATTTTATTTTTAGGCCTGAACTTTTAAGAGAAAAAGTTCATACGAACGGGGAGAGCAAAATTTTGGACGAAAGCAAAATCAAACGAGATTCTCGGAATGACCGTTCACTGCCGAAGAAAATTTCCCAAAATGAAATTGTAAGTAAAATATGTTGTCATTTTGTTGTAGCCTGAACAAGTAATCACATAGTTGGATAAGTTAAACTTTTTGATAATAAATATAACATACTGCCAGACTTTGTGGAAAGTCATCTAAAAGCTCAAACGTGATAATATCTTTATTGTTTTTAATGTAGGACAAACAACTTACTACAAATTTATTCTACTTTAACATAATTTTTTTTGCAGCATTTCGATATTTTAGGACCACAATAATGTCATAGTGTCATATACAAATCATAGACAGACCGATTTTAATAAAATGTAATTTAAAATTACATTGGGTCCTTCCCTATTTTCATATGTGAATCTGTTTGTAAAAAAAAAATGATTGAATTGACTTGAAAAGAGTAGGTCTGGTTTTCTACCTTATACACATATATTTGTTAATTGTGAAATTCGATAACCTATCATTGGATCGCATCTGAGCTAAGCTTTCTCTTATCTGGAAAAAATAAACAAACATCTACACCACTGGTAATTATCAGGACTCCAAAACAGAAAATTATTGCTTATAAAGTCGCAGATTTCATTTCTTTTAAACTATAATGCTGCAGTTCTATTTAATGACAACCACATGCTTTATAGTGAATAAGGATTACCAAAAATGCTCCAATAGCAGATAGCATGACCGCGTTTCTGGCTAAAACAATTGTTACTTGAACATTATAAAGAGCTCCTCGTTACAAGTTTTATAGCCGATCCTGAATGATTTCGCGTACAACGGCAGTATATCAGGCAACGCTTAAGCCTCCCACGAGTCGTATTTGTTGCTGTTACTCTGCACTACAAATATTTATCACTACCTATGACATAAATCACCGTTACTCTGAACTAAAAATATTTATCAATACCTATGACATCTATGGCCGTTACTCAGAACTACAAATATTTATCTAATATTATTTATAAATAAATTTTATAAATATTTATCAATTTATCAATTACCGTTACACTACCTTCTTTATAACCATTAAATTAATATATCCAGAACACTCATATTAAAATTATATAAGATGGATCGAATAGCCCAAAGTTCGCCTGTGGTATTTAAATCAAAGTCACAGAGGCTAAAGTTAATTTTCTTCAGATATAAATACATTTAATTTTCACTAACAACAGAAACGGCACAGCTCCCTTGTCTTAGTTTCTTTAAATGATTGATTGGCATATAAGACTAATTTAAAGGAGTAACTTTTCCTTAAGAATTTCTCGTTTAGTGGCTCTTCAGGACCTGATATTAAGATAGGTCAAAAATTTATGAAAAAAAAATTAATATGGACAACGATTTTCAGTCTGACTTTGATAAGGTGATCGACTATTTTCTCCAATCTGCCACGCAATCATGTACCCCATATAATGTACTAATCTGTAATTTGCCACATTATCCGATTATTACCCTGCGGTCTTGTACACACTTCATATTTGCATATTGAAAGATCATAAAAGATTTTCTTATCGGAATTTAGCAAGTTGAAACATCTTACACCTATAAAATAATTTGATGCGCATTTGTGTTGCCGTTTATAAGTTGGTGTAAGTTTTGGAGTTGGTGTGGCCTCGGTGGTTATTTAATCATTCTTTAATTTAATTTAATTTCTTTAGGCGGGTTTGGGTGCTGGGTTCAGTGTGTTAATAATTTGAAAACATTGGCTTGAAGTTAGCAAAATATTTCTTTTACTAGCGGGATGTTCAGATCCTTGCGGCTGGAACATGGTGCTGATGTGTTTACTGTGTGGCGTTGTATTCGTATTTCCAAACCAGCTCCTTAGTGTAGATTTATTATTTATTAGGCAATACCCGCTTAGCATTTATGTGGTTAAGGTTGAAGTTTAAATGTTGTTTAGTCGAATACGCCAATCGTCCAATCGTATGTCCCTGTTAGTTTACCGCAACAAGGGAATGTTGAGTACGAACTACCTGCACAAGTTTGCACTTCAGAAACACAATCTGCAGTGCCGAAACCGAGTGGTTCCAAACTTCCAACTCAGTGGTTCCACTAAAAACAGAAATTTCCGTTTCTCGTCTTTGCCTTGATACAAACATCATCTGATGTATTGTCTTATATACAAGAAAAAACAAAAGCAGAAACATAAAAGTGGAAAATTTATCTTTTATTAAGCTAGGGACATTTCATATTTCAAGATAAATGTCCCTACAAGGTATTTTCATTTAGACAGTTTTTAAATATGCTGCCGTGATAACGGCTCTAAGTATAAAGTAATGAGTTTTTGATCATTTTTTTAAAGGGTTTACACGCCCAATACGCCCGACTTACACTTTAAGTGGGTGCTCTTTGATCAGAATAACACGGGTTGACGGATGTTAAAAAATATTTGATGATCCTTACATAACTAAACCTTATTTATTTCGCTAGTCCGTCCGATTTTTCAGTATGGATCAGCTGTTTGGAGTTTAAAAAGACTTTTTACTTTTATATACTATGTTATATAATATTATCCCCTTATTCTTATATCCCTAGGTGCTACGATGCTTCGAGCAGCCTCTTTGTATCTTATTTGGTAGTGGAGTTGATAGCCGGGACTTGGTTAGTCGGCTAACCTTTTTTTGTTCAAAGTAGATTCAATACGTACCCCTAATATTAACTAAATTTATGACCCTTACTATATGACCCTCTGACTATAATAAAATTTATCTTATTAGCTGAAATTCTGTCAGTTTTAAGGAGATCATTGCTAACTTTTTTAGCACGATTAGATCTAAAATATTATTAAATATTCTTCTTATTATTATTATTATTATTATCCCTTCTATACTGTTTTCCTAACCAGCGTCTATTTTCTTGAGAATTGAGCCCCACGGTCGGTTGGGCGGGAGGTATAGCCGTAAAAACCACGTTCTCAAAAGACACTTTAAGCTTAATGTAGCAGTTATGTCTCATCTGGTTTTTATCCTGCGATATAAACGTCGGATAAGAGTAAAATAGATTCGTTAAAAAGTATGTAACAGGCAGAATGAAGCGTTTCCCACCATATAGAGTATATATATTCTTGATCAGGATCAATAGACGAGTCGATCTGGCCATGTCCGTCTGTGTATGAACGCCTCGATCTCAGGAACAACTAGAATGTTGAGACTAGGCATGCAGCTTCCAGAGACATAGACGCAGCGCAAGTTTATTTCCAAATGCTGGCACGCTCACTCTAACGTCCACAAACCGCCCAAAACTGTCACGCCTACACTTTTGAAATATGTAATATTTTTTCAGTTTTTTATATATCTTGTAGACATTTACAGATTTGCCAAAAAAAAAACCCACTCATGTCAAGGTCTGGGGATTAATATCCTTTGATGGTTCGGTTAATTAGAACGACTATAGCCAGTGGAAGTGCAAACGAGAAAGTTCAATAAATTATCGGCATAGGGATAGAAATTGGCAAGAAAAGGTAAAATAAAGAAGAAATCAGAAAATCGTAAATATGGCGGGCGTGACAGATTTTTTCGGCTTGTGGGTGTTTCTAATATGTGGTTGGCATATCGATGCAAATTTTCAAGATAAACAATGAAAATAAAAAAATAAAACCTTTTGCAATTGTGTCAGTTTAGGGCGGTTTGTTGGCGTGGAAACGTTATAAAATATACTTAGCTCAAACACATTTTTGGCTCAGGAAACTGGAAATGTTGTTGTTCCATTATTGGTAACTGTAAGCAGACTTCTTCTATCTTCTCTAGGCTGTCTAACATCATTGTGATACTTATTTGTGATTTGTCCTATTTGATTTTGTCCTATCGTTTAACCTGCTAAAGGTTATTACGAAACACACATATTCGGTCAACGCCTTTTTATATCTACTATTAATATTATGCTATTGTATGGCGATATTCACTTTTGAATTATATTTTTGGTTAGGCCTTTTTTTAAGGAATTTTTTTGCTGACGAAATTAGCGGCTGTATCGTTCGCTTACCACAACTGCCTAAGCTGTTCAGAATCCATTCCTCTGCCTGCTGGAGGGTCTGGTCGTGTGTTTATTGTTGTTCAGGCTGTAATAGGTTCTTTACCCTCAGGATTTGTATCGCTATCCAAACCGTCTCAAATATGATATCCGATAGGGACCAATTGTTAGTTAAAGGTGATTAATATACCTGGTACTACGTGGTTCGCAGAAATCAAATATATTTCTCTATAGCACAACATGACTTTATCGACGTCTTGCTCGACATATCGTTGTCTCAAGTTAATTATATTCGTAAGTCTCTTAGTCGATTACTGGACATACATATGCTTTCAAGTGTATTGGCAGTGTATTTCTGTCCAGAGTAGCAAATCATACTAAACCTGAAAGATCCATATCATACTACTTGAGGTAAAAATCGACACAGGGACAGTAATAAAAGAACATCAAAAGAGTCAAAAAACGCGTAATTTTTCAAACAGCGTTTTCTACGTTGCCTCATTCAAAACAGCAACAAACTAAACGCGGTAGCTTAGTCGAATATTTCTCGCTATGTGCTTAGGTTCTTTGCGAAATCCTTCAGATTTTCCCCCTGTAGGGAAGGATTCCTTTGTGATTATTTTCCATAAAAAGGTATTCATTTGGATGCAAGAATTACAGAGGAATCTCTAAATTATCGGCAAATTATCCTAAGCCTTTGGAAAATGTCACTCCCTATTTGCAGTTCCTTTGTAGGTCAATTATATCACCATGTCAACACGGTTTTATAAAACGCAGATCAACAACCACTAAACTTTTGAAGCTTACTTCCTTCGTAATAAAAGGCTTTCACTTTCAAACACTGACTTTAATTAAGACTGTGACTCTGTTAATCATTTACTTCTGGTAAGCAAACTCGATTTATAAAAAATTGTTTATACCCGTTATTCGTAGAGTAAAAGAGTATACTATATTCGTTGAAAAGTATGTAACAGGCAGAAGGAAGCGTTTCCGACCATATAAAGTATATATATTCTTGATCAGGATCAGTAGTAGCTGAGTCGAACTGGTCATGCCCTTCTGTCCGTCCGCCTGTCTATCCGTCTGTATGAATGTCGAGATCTTAGGAACTAAAAAAGCTAGAAAGTTGAGATTGGGCATGCAGACTCCAGAGACATAGACGCAGTGCAAGTTTGTTGCATGATGTTTCCACGCCCACTCTAACGCCCACAAACCGCCTAAAAATGTCACGCCCACACTTTGGAAAAATGTTTTAATATTTTCTCATTTTTTTTATTATTGTATATTAATTTTTATCGATTTGCCAAAAATTTGTTTGCCACGCCCGTTCTACCGCCCAAAATGTTTTCGAAATTTCTACCAATTTCCAGAAAATTAAGAAATTTCTCGATCAAATTTCCACCAGCTGAAAAACGGTTTTTGATAGTCGCGGAACTCGAATATAGCTTTCTCTCTTGTTTGACGAATTACTGATGTAGCGGTAAATTCGATAATAAAGGTGTTTGTATCTCGAATTTCCTATAAAAATATACAATTCTTTTATTAACATTTCTTTTCAAATACTCTCAAATTTCTTCTTGTTCTTGTTTGTGATTGCACAGACAAGTGAAATCCAGCGCGCTTACTAATTATGTTGCCTATGTAACTATATAAAACCAAAGACACTAGAATAATAAGATGCGTAACGGCCATTCATTGGATTTGCACTATGCAGCCACTTTTTTGGTGACGGCAATAATTGCTCTTTCCCCGCTCGCGTAAAATTGAGAGCATAATCTAAAAATAGAATTCACTTACTTGTGTGAGCAAAAAAATGGTGCATGTGTGCTAGAAGACGATTTTCTACCCACCCAAAATTGTGGGATTACTAGTAATTTGTACTAATAAATATACTAAATAGTTAAAAAACTTTATATGCAACCTGTTTATTGCAAAATTGAATTCTTGGGGCAGGACCAGAGATTATTATGAGAGAGAGATTATTATCGTCGCGAGATTATTATGAAATTAATTAGGTATTATTATGAACATTTATTCACCATTACTATTTCTATGATGTATTTAAATAATTATCATGTTAAGGCAATGCAAAATTAGAGTTTTTTACATGGAGGCAATCAATTACAGATAATATAGATTGAAAGTCCATAAACTTCTGTAGTGAAGGGCATATTTTGTCGCACATACAGTGATTGACTGTCGCTGTATGCGTACAAGGCAGTTGCTGGCTCTAGAGTGCTCTCTCTCTCGCCTGGAGCCAGTTCTAGAGCCAGCACAAAAAAATCGTGTTCAAAAAAATAGTATGGCTGAAAAAACCCTGTCTTTGACACAGAAAATACCTTACTCAGTAGTTTCCAGCGGAAATGGTAAACATAGGGAAGGAACAGAAACATTATGAATATCGTGCTATTAAGTCCCTGAAGTCCTTGACATTATGAAAATATATTTGAAAGGCCTGTCACGCTCTTTATAGTATTTACATATATTAAAAGATTTCCAGATTGAAGACTATAATATATAATATCGTCTTAAATAATAATTCGTGTTTTTCTAATTGTTTGCTTAATTTTATTGTAGGTTTTGCAGACATCTAATAAATATTCCGGACTGGACAATGAAGGATCGGAATAAAATATTTGTGTTTCTTATAAATAAATAAAAATAAAGAAAACATATAATAATAATTTACAATCAAATGTTAAAGTGAGTTCTTGGCATTGTTGATAAACGTAAAAAGATATTGACATCTTTGTGTAAACATTTTTATAAATAAAATATTTCGAGCAGTATATGAAACGTATATGGTACATAACTCAAAACTCAGCACAAAAAAAAATTTTCTCGAAAAAAATATTTTTTGTGAGACAAAGACATCTGGTTAACATAAAAACTGGAGCAGCACTGTTTGAAATTAGCAAGACTAAAAATGAAATCGAAAAAGTTTTTTACCGTGTGGGTTTTTGGTATTTCGCAGCCGTTAGTGTTGATACTTGCACAACGTCACTACTAATAAGCAAAGTGCCGTACCTCTAGGACTTTCCAGTTTATTTTAATTTAATATTTCCTCCGTATGCCAACAACATTTTGGTTAAAGCCACCGTTACGTAATGTATATCAACATGTCAAACAAATTTTGGCCACGCACCCTCTAACGCCCGTTATTACAATTAAAATAAAAAAGAACGCTATAGACGAACTCGTTGACTATCGGATACCTTAACAGGTAATGCTAATGGAGTGTACGGAATAAAGGGTATATGGGTAAGACGGACATGTCAAGATATACTCGGCTAGTAGCAAGAATATATATAACTACTAATTTCATTAAGCCCTTAATTTTATTGAAGATATCGTTATTTTTGTTGTGCCTTAGATTGGTCTTCAAAATAAATTTCTGATATCTCCCCAAACAGGGTGAGCATATGAGCAAAATATAAGTTTGTCAAATATCTCCCTTCCGCCCTTTTGTCTTTTGAATTTCGCGGCTATGTACAAAGCGCTACAGAGCTCGCATCTGTATCTGGCAATACTATACATGATTTGAAAGGTCTTGACATAACCTACAAAACGACGCTATGCATGATTAGTTTGGATATTGCGTTCAACAGTTATAGACGTGTAAACATGGAGTTCACTAACGCCGAAATTCGCGCTATTTTAAAGTTTTCCTTCGTTAAAGGCAAATCCGCTAGAGAAACGTTCCGTGAGATTAATGGTGTTTTGGGGGATGGTACTCTATCACTTCGAACAGCGGAGGAATGGCTTCGACGATTCAGAGCCGGTGAAAACGACACCATGGATAAGCCAGCCGGCGGAAGACCTGTGACGACAAATACCGATCAAATCATGGAATACATCGAGTTAGACCGGCATGTGGCATCTCGTGACATCGCCCAGGAGATGGGAGTTAGTCACCAAACCATTTTAAACCATCTGCAGAAGGCTGGATACAAAAAAAAGCTTGATGTTTGGGTGCCGCATGATTTGACGCAAAAAAACCTTGTGGACCGAATCAACGCCTGCGATATGCTGCTGAAACGGAACGAACTCGACCCATTCTTGAAGCGGATGGTGACTGGCTCGAAAAATGGATCACATACGACAATATCAAGCGAAAACGGTCGTGGTCGTCCCAAACAGTGGCCAAGCCGGGATTGACGGCCAGGAAGGTTTTGCTGTGTGTTTGGTGGGATTGGAAGGGAATCATCCACTATGAGCTGCTCCCATATGGCCAGACGCTTAATTCTACCATCTACTGCGAGCAACTGGACCGCTTGAAGCAGGCGATCGACCAGAAGCGTCCAGAATTGGCCAACAGGAAGGGTGTAGTGTTCCACCAGGACAACGCCAGACCACACACTTCGTTGATCACTCGTCAGAAGCTACGGGAGCTCGGATGGGAGGTTTTATCGCATCCACCATATAGCCCGGACATAGCGCCAAGTGATTACCACCTATTCCTGTCCATGGCGAATGCCCTTGGTGGTGTAAAGTTGAACTCAAAAGAGGCTTGTGAAAAGTGGCTGTCCGAGTTCTTCGCAAATAAGGAGGGGGGCTTCTACGAGGGAGGTATTATGAAGTTGCCGTGTATATGGAAACAGATTATCGAACAAAACGGCGCATATTTGAACTAAATCCGATCACTCTAACACTTTTTATAAAGCATTGAATAAATAGCAATAAAGCGGAAGGAAGATATTTGCAAACCTATTATTTCGGAGAAAAGCTTTGTGTCATTACTTAACATGAACATCACATTCAATATTCAGTAATGTGCGTTTTTAACAATGCTAAAGAACAGAACAAAAA